TCCCTGATGTTCTTAATTGTCAAAGTGGCACGTGACCAGACCCAACCAGGGTCTCTCTTCGCTCGCTCCAAGGGGCGGTAAGATGAGAGACCCTGGGAACGAGGTTGTAATAACAAGTCAATCATGACGTCACAGAAAGCCAAAAGAACGTCACACACTTTGAAATGTCGCAAACTTGGTTCAGCCCGACTAACGGTTTTTCAAATAATTTAGAAAAGCTTCAAAATTAATCCAGGAAAAATATGACAATACAAAAAATGTAAAGAATTTGAAATAAATCGTCATAAAAGCCAATTTCGAATTGACACAAAAATTTAAGCTTTGAGCTTAAATTTTTTAACAAAAACAATACCAGCCACTCTTTGAAAGCATGGTTGCCATAGAAAAATCTTTTCACAACAAAAATGATTCACAAAGTTTGACCACCATTGCTTGAACGCTGTTTTTATAAGAAATGATTGAACACAGGACCCCTTGAAGCTTCAGGCTAATTAGGTTAAGACGTCATCACGAAATGTCTTTAAATGTATTCTATTCTTGAAACATTATAATTTTCACATCAGTGTTTGGAAGTTTCTTGATTAATATCGGCATATACAAATTGACAGCCTGGGGAAAATGAAAACCTGGTTTTGGATTCTTGGCTGGTSTCTTTCCATCCTAACGATGGCTGGAAATGGATTTATTATCTTCCTTGTTTGCAGCAAACGGCAGCTTCGCACCAAAACCAACGCGTTTGTGATTTCATTGGCAGTGGCAGACTTCTGTGTCGGGATGAGCGTTGTTCCACCAATGTTCTTCTGTGAGATGGCAACTGGGTGTAAACCAGAGTCTTATGCGATAAGTTTTGTGAGGTGGCTGTTCAGTTACGCGGCTGTGACGAACCTGTGCAGCTTAGTATTGGATCGCTACATTGCAGTTGCCAAGCCTATGAAGTACTTGACTTTTATGACGCGTCGCCGTGTTATTCAAATGGTTTCCTTTTCTTGGGGCATCCGAGTTGTCTTAAGCACGATTTCCGGACTTAACTGGTTTATTTTTAAAATACCCCTCTTCTATGACATAATTTTCTGGATATCTGTGATATTTTTTGAATTCCTCCCATGTTTAATGTTGATATTCTGTTTTGCATCCATGTTACATGTCATTTGCAAGCTTCACAGCACAGCTCGCACCATAGCGAAACAGTTACGTTTCAACCATCGCATTTTGTTTAATTGTCAGGAAAAATCCGCGGTCAAATTAATGGCAGTTGTTATAGGCTTGTTCTTACTGTGTTATGGATTTTATATTCGCTGTACGTTAGTATATATATTTCAAAATGGTGAATGTAATGATCAAGAACATAAAATACCCCTTCTAGTTTTAAACTCCGCCATAAATCCTGTAGCTTACGCTTTCTTCAAGAGAGACATCAAGAAGGAG